TGAAACAACTGTTATTAAATGTTTATATTAGAATTGAATCAATAAATGTCTAGATTAGAATTGTTAATACTTTTGTCGGATTTACAAACAAGGATTTTTTTATTCGTGTACTTAAAACATAGCTGTAACAGATATTAACAAGCAGATCTTTTAAATAATCTGCAAATAAGTTTCTAGTCAAAAGAACGTATTAAGAACATATTGTATCTATAGCTAGAGGTGGGAAGCAAAAGAGACTCAAATATGTAGTAAAGGTTGTCTAAAACTTTGATATTTATACCTAATATCGATGTATGCAAGAAACAATTACTTTACCTTAACAGCACCGGAATTAAAAATACATTTTTGAACGTTCAAAAGAGGTTAAAAAACGTCTTTATTGCGTCCCGTGCCCGTTGGGTTAAAAAAGATTTAAAACAAGCATTAATTTCCAAATTAAGTTTGAGAGTTTTCCAAAAAATGTTTTCTAATACTTTAAAATTTCTTTTCCAAAAAAATTTTAAAGTATTAGATAAACATTTACTTATCAAGAATGAGTAGTATATACGTTTTTATTGTAGGTTACCTTTGAGATGTCAAAAAAACTAGATGGAGCTCAGTTTTAGAAAAGAAGAATTGAAAAGCAACAGGCAGAAAATTTTTAAGAAAAGTTGGTAAGTGATGGAACCAACTTCATTTTTTAGAGATATTCTAGAAGAATCAGAAGTGTTACAACCAGAATACCTCTTTGATATTTCACCTAGCTTTGGTGACCTCAACTACTTCAATTTAAAGTTAGCTTCTATAATTATTTAAAAGAAATTGCTTTTACAACTCAAATAAAAAAATAAGCTGAAGGCCGCAGTCTTCAGTAGTTTTTCAAACATTATGGCAGCATGTCTCACTTTTTTAACTTATTCAATGACAACAGCAGAAATAATTATAAACAGAAATATTTGTGAATGGGACATAAGCCTGAGGAACATGCATTTTGAATAAGTCCAAAAAACTGCATCCAAAAATGCCATTATTATATCTTTGCACTAACAAAATCAATAAAAAAAAATTCTAATAAACATTTTATTTTAACTTTTAGACATTATTATCCTTACTGTTAATATATTTTTTTAAATTTTGTTTATTACTACAATTAGGATCAGTATTTTTTTTATTTTTTATTTTTTTTATTTTTTATCATTTTAACATGCAAGTTATGATTTTTACATGTTTATTTTTAATGTTCGATGTGCTTTAATCTAAGCGTTTAATGTATGTTCGATGTGCTTTAATCTAAGCGTTTACAGTTCATGTGTTTTTCTTTGCTTTTTAATACTTATATTTAAAAATTGGTGTCACTCCTTTGATCAGATTTCTGTATGAGTGACACCATTCAATTAAATCATTAACTTATTATTATAAGTAATTGTATGCATATAATATTTTTTTTATTGTTTTTATTATTATTATTTCATTGTAATTATTATTATTATTATATGAGATTATTATTATTACTATTATTATTGTCATTATTATTATTTTTATTTTTATTAAAACTATTAAAAATATGATTTACGGAAAATAAATAGCTTGTTGTTGTTGTTGTTGTTATTGTTGTTGTTGTTGTTGTTGTTGTTGTTGTTGTTGTTGTTGTTGTTGTTGTTGTTGTTGTTGTTGTTGTTGTTGTTGTTGTTGTTGTTACTGCTGTTGTAGAACATAGTTTTTTAAAACTGAAATTAATAAAAACATCTTTAAGAAGCAACATGTTACAACATCGCCTGAGCTCTTTGAGCACTATATCAATTGAGAAAACAATAGCTTGCTAACTTGATATGGATAAAGTGATTGAACGATTTGCAAAGGAAAAGAAAAAAACAATTTCAACTTATACACTAGAAAGTAGAGATGTCTATAAATTTTTAACAAATCTGGTTTAAAATATTTTTTAATGTGTAAATTAAAACCGTAGAGCTCATAAATCGAGAAGTAAAACAACAGTTTTTTTTCCAGATTAAAAGAATGTAAACATTTACGGAAACACCGATCAGATGACTGAACGTATGTTTTTTACCAAAGGAAGACGGGCAACATTGAATGATACTTTGAATTAGAATTGCTAACCTAACCCATTACTTTAACATTAGGATTGCGAACTTTGGTATCTTTTGATTGGGCGTTAGAAACATATGAGGCTTTTCTATTCCATATTGTATATAACCTCTATAATTTAAACACAGCTCTTTTTTGTTTTTATTTTTCTAATTAACTTTGAGAAAAGAGGGGGCGCGCCAATTTTAGTTGCTCTAAACGCTAAATATGTAGATACGCCACTGTTATGACCTATAGAATGCTAACATAAGAAAAATATTAAAATACAAATGATTTTATAAAGGAATAAACCTCTTTAATTATGAACTAAACTAAAAAAAAGATTACTTCATAATTAAAAACCAAGAATATATTAAAAACTTCAACCTATGTTTTAACATGCAGTTTACCACGCACTAATGCTAGAAGGGTTTTCCAGCTTTTGCAAATATTTAAAAGCTTTATTAGATTTTCAATAACTGTCTCTTGTTTTTAAAAAAGCAACAGCCACCGATCAAAAGTTTTTTCGTTATAAGATTTTTCAACTTAAATTTTCTTTTTTAAATAGACAAAAATGAAGTCTATGAGACATAAAAATGCAGTCTATGATACATAAAAAAGTAGTCTATGAGGGACTAAAGGTAAATAACAATGTGTATATAAATTTAAATACACAAATTTAAGTCACTTAAAAATTATAAACTTTTATGATTGAAATAAGACTTTCGTGATAACTTCCAGGTATATAGTAGTTATATATAACGTGATTAGTTATATATTTCGTGATAAATTCTAGGTTTATGGTAGTCATATAAAAGCGCTCTAACCACTGCGGCCGTGGCGCAGTGGTTAGAGCGCTTGCTTTTTAAGCAGGAGATCCAGGTTCAACGAGCTTTGGACATATTCGCGTCACGGTAAGGAAGGAGTCGTGAATTTCCTAGTTAAATGCACTTCCGTGGTGCTCTGATACAAGACCGCTAGGACTTCTTGGGCCACCTTAATAACAAATTTAGTATATGTATATATATATATATATATATATATATATATATATATATATATATATATATATATATATATATATATATATATATATATATATATATATATATATATATATATATATATATATATACTAAATTTGTTAATAATAATAATAATATATATATATATATATTTATTATTATTATTTTTTTTATTTATTTGAGTTTTCATGCTATATTTTTCTGTAAAACGTTCTTATATCCGAAGATATTGTTGGCTTAGCACAGGAACAGCCACAAATAGTCATTAAGACTAATCCAAAGTAGCGTCTGTTATTGACCAACATTTTTGCGTACCGAAGTACTACTCAAGCGATGAGTTGGCGGTTGAGTACTACTCAAGCGCTGAGTTGGTTATATTATATATATATATATATATATATATATATATATATATATATATATATATATATATATATATATATATATATATATATATATATATATATATATATATATATACATATATATATTCTTGGTATATGGTAACTTTACTCTTTTGTACAATTGTTGGAAAACAGGGAGTTTCAGAAAAGGTTTTAAACCAATTAGAAGAAAGTGGACAATTTTGCAAGTTTTAAACGGGTTTTTTTTATTGAAAATTCTTCGATAAATTTTGAATTGCTTTAAAAATTAATTTGGTGGCTTTGAGGTTATGGACAATACGTGTCCGTTTTAATACATGCCTATAGAACGTAGAAAACAATATAAACTTGTCATCAAGCACCTTTTAATGCATATAAAACAAAAACCTTTTTATTACAATAATCAAATTTCACGGATAGGAAATAAGCTAGCCACCAGCTGGCACTTAGCTAACTTTGTAGCAATTTTAGATAGCCTTTTTATTTTTTTCCTCACATTATTAATTTATTTTGTCTTTTACCTCTTAAAAAAATGATTATTATTTTTAGATCTCTCATTTAGATATAATCAAACTTATAGCATTGCAATTTTACTACTACATGTCGCTATCTAGATATCGCAGCTTTTTAGCTATCAATATTACTTCGATATATCGTAAACAACATATAGTAGCATTTTAGTAACAAATCTGTACATAGTCAATGGATGCATATTACATACTTTGTAGCTAGGGATATTATTAAGATATATCAATAGCTAGAATTGCCGATAGCTACAGCAATATAATGATCAATCTAAAGTTAGCTGATGGCTACATATCGTAGCTTTTTAGTTAGCCATGATAAGATATATCCATAGTTACATATAGTAGCTTTGTTGATAGCTACTACATAAAGATAATTGTATAGCTACTAGGTAGCCATTATAGCTACTAGGTAGCCATTAAATGTTCATATTAAATTAAGCTACTACAGTAATAAAATAAAAAAAAAAATGTTTCTTGATTTAATTACTAGTATAATATAGATCATCAGCTAACATAACGGAATTCAGTTTTAAAAATGCATTATAAAAATTGTTTATATAAAATTAAAAACAGGAGTGGACCAAAATTTGTCCTTATGGGACTCCACATAAGACATTATTACTCCAGATTGGATATTATGTGCTATATTGCTTTCTATTGGTAAAATGAGTTTTATTTAATATCCTACAGTGCTTTACTTTATTTAAGAGGATACAACGGTCCACTGTATAATATGCTTTTGAGCAAATATATTGAGCACCCTTTTTATATATAATAGATTAATTAGTTATACATATCTGCTCTTATTTATTTTAAAGTCATTTTAACCATGTACCAATTCATCCCTTTAAACGCTGGTTAAACTTTGAAATGAAAACCTGTATTATTAGTCTGCAAAATGTAAGTGTATTTTAATTTACTTTTGTATGCCAATTGCTGATTTTAATAAAAATCACTAACCTAATCGGCACAAATTATTTTACACAAATAACAAAAAATAATAAAAATTTTATTGTTCAAGTTTATTCTTTAAATCTTTTACATAACTTTAAAAGCTGAAAAGTCGTCGACATCATTTTAATATCCTTTCACCTATTGAATAAAAAGTAGAAATATTAATTACAAATCATAAATCAATCAAATATAAGAAAAACAATTGAAGACATAAGTGGATGAAGGTGTTATTCACACTAATATGGTACTGAGATATCAGAAGTTAAAGTTTTGAACACATATTATTCTAGATATTTTTCTATAGTAAAGATATGTTAATGTTTATGGAGGGATATAGTAACCAAACACTTAAGATTTTGTATGTAATATTTAATTTACTTAACACCTTTATTTGTGTAAAAAAGTGGAATTTTGTATATTTGCGACATAACGCCTTCATCCACTTATGTCTTCAATTAAAACTAAAAATAAGAACAATAATTAAATGAACTTGGTATTGAATAAATGTATTTAGTAGCAGATTAGCTATAACCTAGATGAATATACTGTAACCAAGAAACTGACACATCTGATGCAAATCTTTACGTTTCCCGATGATGGAATTTAAAGATAAAGGTAGCAATTCCACAACTCACTAAGAACAACCCGGTGGGAAATTGGCTAGAAAATGGCTAGCTATAATCTTAACAACAAAGACAGCAGTTTTGCCACAAGGCCAAGCTTTTTTAAGTTAGCGAAAAGCTATCGATTTTTGTAAAGATAAAGAAAGCGATTTGACTACGAGGACAGCTAGCTTAATAAGCTCAAAACCCACTGGCTAGTTTAGCTAGCGTCATGTCGTAATAAAAACAGCTACAGATTTGTAGATATTTTGTGGCTAGCTACAAAGCTACGATATGTAGCTAGTGACACATTGCTACAAAATCGCAATGTTTAAAGTTTAATTGTTCTCATAATTATAAAATACTCAACATAATTATAAAAGACTCAATACTCAATCGAATTTTTAAAGATGTTAAAGACAATAGGAAAAAATAAAATAAGAAAAAGAAAATCGCTTGAAAATCACTATAAAGCTAGCTAGTCGCTAGCTTATTTCCCACCGGTAAGATTTCAATGAAAAAATAATAAAATAAACTAGCAACTACTACAAAGTAAAATTTCAGTAACTTTAAAAAAATAAAAATAAATAACGGATAAACAAAAAACAATAACATTAGTCATTTTCTTTATAATACAGCAGGATTTATTAATCCAATAACCAGCGATGATAACATTTATAATCAGAGATATAACATCCAATAACCAGGTATGATATTTGACATTGAATAACATAGCGATAGCAACGATGATTTTGTAGTGATAATTTCAAATTTTGACTGAGTTTGACAAAATCAAACATAGATTTTGTCAAATCTAAATTTGGTTAATTTACTAACTGGGGTTTACTAAGCGTTTAAACCAAAAGTTAGAACATAAATCATCAATGCAAAATGCATACAAAGTACATAACTTTTTCAATACAAAGTGTACTGTATAAGTTTAATATTAATTTAAATGTTGCTGATTTTTGAAAAATTTGTTTTGTGTTTGCAAGTATACTACTATGAAAAATGCATACTTTGCTATAGAAAATTCTTATGTATTACGGGATTTGCTAACTGATTAGCAACTTGGCCAAACTGAATTAAACAAAAGTAAGAACTCACTCAAAAAAAAAAAAAAAAAAAAAAAATTAACAATTGAATTAAATACTATATTTTTTTTCAAAACACTATTTTTCTTTTCAAAACACTATTTTTTTCTTTTCAATGCTTTTTTTTTTTTTCATTGTTTGCCAAAAAACTGTAAAAATACAAAACATTTTTTTATTATTTCATTATTTTATTAAATTATTAGTTTTCAAATAAAATCGTTTTAAAAAAAATAAAAATAAATTTTAACAGCAGGCTATCATTCCTTAAATTAGTCAACATCAATAACTTGAAATTATTTTTATGAAATTGAACACTTAAATATTGCTGAACCATCTCAGAGTACATAAATAAAAAATTTTTTTTACTACATCCTAATAATTAAAGAAAAATTATGCGCTTGTTTTTATTACTAAAATTTAAAAAGTATGACCTACTTTATAGCACTTCATTAAATTTCTAAAAATTTTTATATCTTTTTCTTTTTTGTCTTTGAAAAAAATTCTTTTAATGAAAAGTGCTTTTTTTTTTTTTGATACCGGTCATCATAAACTATATTTTAAAACTCACGCTAACTGAATTTAAATTTAATTTATAGTAATGTGCAGTGCAGGTGCTTTTTCTTTACACGACTTATATTATCTCGCTTTATTAGTAAATGACACGAAAAGGTAAGGAAGGAAAAGATGGAGTAAAAAGTTTCTCTTTAAAGGAACACATTATTAAAAGCTTGAACTCACATTTTGTGCAAAAGGTTCTGAAAATGCAAAACTATTATGTGTGTGTACACTTTGGTTTTTCAGAATTTGAAAACTTCTTTCCAGCTATTTTGCAAAGCACTCAGCTCAGGAAGGACTTATACAACTGGTTTCTAGTTACACAACTGGATTTAATTCTAGTTTCAAACATTGAAATATAATACTTGACTAAATGAAAACCTATCATTAAATAAAGCAATAAAAATATAGGTTGCTCAATACATATGCAAATAAATATTTCCAAGTATGATATTAAAATAAACATTTACTAATATATACATAAAACTTTGTTAAATACTAAATTAATAAAAAAATAATTTAATAAACTAACAATAATAAAAAATCTCAACTCATTAAAAATGAAAAAGTTTTATCAAAAAATCTTATTAATTCTTTTTACCTTTATTTGTTGTGATTTAGAAGCAATGCAATAATAAGTAATCGTAACATCTTCTGCTGTTTCCTTGTTTATATAACATGAAAATGGGCTCTAATAATAAATAAATCATAAGCTGACAAGCATTTTATTATGGAAATGTTAAAAATTATGAAGTATTTTATTTAAGAAAAATTAAAAGTTGCATTTTGTTAGGGAAGGTTAACATCTATGATTTATTATATTAAGAGAAGATTAAAAATCATCAAGCTTTTTATTAAAGGAAGGTTCAGATTTATGAAGCATTTTATTAGGAAAAGATTAAAAAAAAAATGAAACATTTTACTTTAATTTTATTATATAAAATAATATTTTAAAAATGCCCAAAATGAAATGAAATTTCTTTTTAAATGTAACTAAATGTCTTAAGGGTATATTCACCTTTAAACCTGACCTCTAATTAAACTAGACTTTACATAGCACACAGCAGAGACTTACACATCATCCAATCTACCGGTTTAAATTGCTTATATGAAAAATGTTTTGTTTATCTTATAGACTAGTTATTAGATACTATACCAGCAAAAACTTATTTAGCTCAACTTTTATTTAGCAACAACATTTCTTCTAAAATGTCATAATTGATGAGATATAAAGATTTGTCATACTTTAATATAATTTAAATAAATTTCTTAAATCAGGCATATTGCCTGGTTTTGTAACGTCACATATATATGCTCAACTGTGTAAAAATACAATATGACATGTTTGCTGCATGCTCTATATGGCTCAATGAATATAACTAATAATTTTTTTATTTATTTTTTAATATTTATTTTTACATAAAACAACATATAAATAATACAAATACCTTTAGGGTTCCTAACTCCTTTTGTTCTTTCCATTGTTTTAGACAACTTTTTGATACCATTGTTGGAGTTAATTTTGAGATCTGCTTCGAATTTAAAATTTTATTTGCAAATATCATTTCTTTATCATCATTGCAACTTAGTTTTATTTGGTTTTCAACATTTTCTCCGATTTTTTCTTTTGGATTTTCTTCTTCTTCCTCCTTGTTCTTTACTCCCCAAGCAGGCGCTCCAGCAGGTTTAGTATCAAAGCAGTCATATACAATACTGATCAGATCATTGCTTTTAACTTCGCTATTCAATAAAGTTAGCACACAGATGGTACCAGATTGAACTTTTTCGTGAGCTTGTTTTTTTTTCTTTACCTCTTTTAAAGTCTAAATAAAATGTTTGTATATTTAGTTAATATAAGTTCATTATAATAGTAACACAACTAATCGCTTTTATTCGAAAATTTACTATGTTTATTACTTTAAAAAGTGTTACTTTTTATTATAACTATATGTAATATAATTATTTGTAGTATATATGTTATAAAAATCAATGGCGGACCTGTACACGGCGCACCCTAAACTCGGTGAAGTTCGTTAATTCTCGGAACGAATATTCTCGGTGTTCGCATTTGGTATTTTACAGAATAGAATATTACGTTAATTCGCGCCATAATGGTAACGTCGAAAATAAAATAACAAAAACTTGTCGTAAATGCATTTTAATAAAAATTTAACATTTTAGAAAAAAAATTAAATTTTACAAATTATCAACATATATACATTAAATATTAGATCAAATAGATCTTCTAAAGGTATCTTCTCTTCGTAAGATTTCTTTTTGTAGCTTATCTTTTTTTAATCGATCATCTAAAGGTATCTTCTCGTAGCTTCTCTTCTTTACATATCTTTTTGTGGCTAATCTTCTTTTAATCGATCTTTTACAGTTATCTTCTTGTAGCTTATCTTCTTTGCATATCTTTTTGTGGCTTATCTTCTTTTAGTTTTTGCAACGTATATTTCGTGTTGTACATAAAAAAAAAACAAGTTCAATATAAATATTATGAAACATTTTCAATGTAAATATTATATTATAATACTTATTTTACATTACAGAGAATACCTGTCATTAATATGTTTTAAGAATAAAGAGAAATTTTCCCAAACATTTTTATTATAAAAATCATAATATTCTCTGTATACAGCTTCATCTAGCCTAGACCACCTTAAATCACCCTGTGATCCAAAAACATACTTTAACCTTCGTTTCATCCTACACCAAAACGACTCAAAATGGTTTGTTGTTGCTCCAGTGTCAGGATCAACAAAGTTTATTGTATGGTTTACAGTAAAATGATTGTAACCTAAGTTATTTAAATTAGTATAAGAAGCCCACTGATCTGAATGTATTATTGATCCAGGTGCAACCCATTGTTGAATTATTAGCACTAATGTCTGAGCTGTTCAATCCTCTACCCTTCTTAAGTATCTTTTCTTACTAGTTACATCAAATGCCCCAAAAATCCAATGTTTTTCAACGTTATGCCCAACATTATATTTTCGTTTAAAAAATAAAGATTCATCTATTTCTACGATGAGCCCTGGACCACCTAATTGATTAACAGCAGCAACATCCATAGTTTTAAACGAACAAATATCCCGGAAGTATTGATACCACTGAATTGAGGTTTTTTCGTTTACACCTACTACCTCAGATGCAGCGGTTATAGGGACCTCCAGGATCCATAAAAACATTAATTGAAGTATCAGACTTACACTTAAAGATGTAGAGCTTTCAAAAAATCCTGCTCGAATTGACTTCGTCTTTTTGCAAGTGTTACATCGCCAAATATGTTTTTCCTTAAATAAAGTATTTTGAAGATACAAGGGATAATCTGTTTTGTGTAAATAATAATAAAAATGTTAAGTACTCATACTTGACAACGTTCATAATTTTGCACAAGCATCCTTTGACCACATAGACAAAGTTTTTGAAGTGGCATTAACCTTTTTTGTTACAAAAAATCAACCAATTTTTCTTCTTTGATACTTTCAATGAACTCAGCTAAAGGTGTCATCTTACTTATTTTAAAGGCGGTAAAAAATTGGCTTGGCCAATCATTAAACGGCAAAATTATTGTCTCGAACTTTACCGAGTTCGTTTACGAATTTCACCGAGTTAAGGGTGCGCCGAGTACAGGTCCGCCAAATCAATTAGTAAAGTTTGTTACAACATTTTAAACTCAAAATTTTTACTTGAAATTTATCAGAAATAAAGCAAAATAAATTACTTTATTTGTTTTTGATTAGAAATTACTAGGAATCAAAAAAAAAAAAAAAAATCCTTATAGTACATTTTTAAAAACTTCTTTGTTTTAATGACATTTCTTGTAGTACTTGATAATTTATTTATTTAATTTATAACACATACAATACAGCTAAGTACTAATATTTTAATTTATTTATGTAATATTTCAGTCTGAATAGTTCAGACCGTCATCAGACGTAAAATTAAATACAATAAAAATCTCACAAAAAAACGTATGTAAAAAACCGTTATAGAAGACATTACAAAGATGAGCTGACGTAACGTAAACAACTATTTTGAATTTTTTAAAAAGAGGTCGCCAGCTATTTATTTTTTATTAGACGCAATTTTAACACCGTTGTCTTTGTTCAAAAGCGGTGGAAAGTGTCTTATTTCGTAGTTTGTTTGGGCATAATTAATTTCAAGTGACTCTCTTATTTTCCTTTCATGGTAGTTAGACTAGAATGCGATCGTTTTTGGGTGCATCCAATTAAATATACCGTGGCAGTTCTTGCAGTGTTCTGTGGCTCCGGAAGCATGCCAATTACCTTTTATACTGTTTATCTGATGCTCAATACTTCTTTGTATAATTTTCTTTTTTGTTTCTCCAACATAAACGCCACCGCATGAACACGTAAGCTTATACACACCCGGCTTGCTATTTGGCAATAGTTTGGATTTGTTATTACACAAAATTCTTTTTAAAGTTGGTGGTGTTGTAAATATAACTTTAGCGCCATATCTCTTGAGCTCTTTCCTTAGTTTTGATCCTATTCTTGGAATCCATGGGAATTTTAGTGTTATGTTACCATTTTTTGTTTGATCTGTAACTACACCTACAGGATTATTTTTGATTTTGAGATAATTTTTTGTTATGAGCTCTAATTCAGATTTTTTATGGCCATTTTCGACAAACATATTTATTATAAATTGTATTTCATCTTGAAGGTATTTTGGAGAACAAATTTTTGAGGCTCTTGATATAAAACCTTTGAAGACTCCAGATGTTATTGCAGGATTAATGTTAGAATTCGGTTTTATTTGTATATTCGTAATTGCGGGTTTTCGATGGATTTTGAAATTATAGTGCAAATTGTTTGTATTTATTATTGTTATATCTAAAAAGTTTAGTTCTTTCCTTTCGTTTTCTATTTCCGATGTGCATTGAATTGCAGGATCTTGTTGATTTAACAATTCCAAAAATTTGTCGTGTTTTTCTAATGAATCAAATCTCGCATGGCTGTCGTCTACATAGCGTTTGAATGACTTTGGTGAAAATAAATTTATTTCTGCAACTCTCAAAGTTTTTGTTTCTAAATGTTGCAAAAATGCCTTTGCAACAACGACCATAAGTGATAGTCCAATAGGGCCAGAGTTCGGTATAGTTCTAATCACGTTTTTATATAAAAAGTAGCATTGGCTTAGACAGAGTTCAATAAGTTGGTGAATATCAGTAAGAGTTAATTTAGTTCTATTTGCAAGATCTTCTTTATCATTGTTGAGTATATCAATAATTACAGGTATTGCTCTGTCAATTGGAATCGAGGGGTACAATGCTATCACATCAAACGAGACTTGAATTTCATTAGGAGAAATTACCCAGGATTTTGCTTCGTTGACAAATGAAGACGAGTTCAGTAACCTTGTTTTATTTTTATTTAAAGTTGGTTGTATTATTTTAACCAGATATTCTGAAGAACCATAAGGCGGAGTACCGATAGCGGAAACCACTGGTCTCATTGGATAGTTTTTATCTGATTTATGAGCTTTTATGACGCCATATAGTCGTGGAGGAATGCAATCAGAAGGGTATAGTTGAAAATAAGTTTTTTTATCAAATTTGTTTTCTTTCCTCAACTTACGTAAAAACTTCTGAAACTTTGTTGCGATGGTTTGTGTAGGGTCATAATTAATAATTACGGACTTTTTAATTTCATCATCTAATTTCTTAAAAGCATCTGATTCGTTAATTACTACAAATCCTGAACCTTTATCAAACGGGTAAAATCTTAGAGCGTCTTTATTCTTTTTTAGATTATTTAAGGCGAACCTTTGTTGCCTTGTGAGATTGTCTGGTAATTTCTTTTTTAGAGAACTTGTCAAGATTTTACTAATATTTTGTCATATATTCTCTGCGTCAGCATTTTTGTTTTGTTTTTCCAAATGCAAAGCAAACGACTCAATCGGGGTTAACAGTTCCATAAAAGGTACTTTTTTATATGGAGGTGCAAAATTTGGCCCCAAGTCCAACAGTTTGACTGTAGAAGAGTCTAACGGTGTTTGAGTAAGATTTAAAGCTCCTGGTTTAATTATTTTTTTATTTTTTCTTATGCAATTTAGTTTTTTATGGGTTTTTTGATAAAGATTTTCATATTTTTCTTTTAAAAGTGTTTTTTTAATATTGAAATGATGATTTTTCGATTTCTCTGTAACACTATCAACGATTTCGTAATGATAAGGCGTTAAAATGCTTTTTAATTCCAAATTAATAATTTGAATAAATCCCTTACTTTTATAAAGTCGATATTTTGCTTCGTTACGAGCGTGTATTAGTAACATTCGTTGATATTCCAAGGTAAAGTTTTCAGCTTTTTTTGATTTAATTGGCAATTTAACTTTAAATGATGATGGGATTATATTATTAGAAACACATCTTTGTAAAAATACAAACTGATTTTTTGAAATAGCATTTTTGATTTTTTTGTTCTTGATGTTTTTTTGTTAGATTATAAATCTTCTCGCTGTAAGAAGTTGCGATCAATTGTTTTAATGACATTTCTTGTAGTACTTTATAATTTATTTATTTAATTTATAACACATACAATAGAGCTAAGTACTAATATTTTAATTATCAATTATGACCCTACACAAACCATCGCAACAAAGTTTCAGAAGTTTTTACGTAAGTTGAGGAAATAAAACAAATTTGATAAAAAAACTTATTTTCAACTATACCCTTCTGATTGCATTCCTCCACGACTATATGGCTTATTATACGACTATATGGCTATATGACTATATGATTTATTCAAATTATTAATTTGGAATTAAAAAGTATTTTAACGCCTTATCATTACGA